ACATTACATTGACGGAGCTGCCCGTGTCAACGTAAGTTCGGTGAATGATGGTGTCGTTGATCTCCGTCCGAATCACCAAGGCATCCCTGTGAGGAGAAGAAGTAGGAGGGAGATATGCGTTGGTGAAGGTGATGGGTTCCTCCCTCAATCGCTTTACTGGGGGCATATGAGTGACTTCCCCTACGTAAAGCGATTGAGCCCACTTCTTCCGCTGGCTGGTGGAATCGCCCCCTGTATTGCCACCGGTGATCATGAGGATGTGGCGTTTCTTCTCCTGGTAGTGGGGGTACTCCTCCTCCTCTTCTTCCAAGTTTCCGATCTCCCTCTTCTTGCCGAGGGGGATGGTGTTCGGATTCACCCGGGCACTTACCTTCATATGGTGCCCTCGGGGAGGTCCCTGATGAGAAGGTCCCTCCTGCCGAGGGCTCTGGACAAACTGGGACAGGTGCCCTGCTTGTATTAATCTCTCGATGGCCGTCTTCAGTTGATGGCAGTCATCGGTCCTGTGCCCCTGGTGTCGATGGAAGCGACAGTAGGGGAACTGAGGGTTGATAGCGTGTACCTCCGGGGGTGCGCGAGAATCGCGCTCAACGAGACCCCTCTCCTCTGCAAAATCGAGGATGATGCTGACGGGGTGCGTCAATGGGGTCCGAGGGCGGTCCAGGAGAATGGGCTGGGCCCAAGTCTTAGGGTTGCTCCTATACCCTCCCCCGGGCTTGGCTTGGCCTTGCCGAGGGCGGTCATCAGAGGGTCCCGAAGCCTTGGGGCGATTTGGAGGAGCCCCCGGCCCTCGGTTGTGCTTGTTGTCAGCCCTCGGGGGCTGCTGGTCCGGATGCTGGTGATACTTCTCCACCTCCTCGGCCTCAGCATATCGGTCCCCCCGCTGCAAGGCCCTTATGTAGTCGCGGGGGGGTTCAATAATGAGGCTCCTTGAAAAGTTGCCGGTGCGGAGGATGGTTTGTAGGAGGGCCAGGAGGGTCCCGTCATCAGCACCGTCGACCTTGTCGGCCTCCGTCCTCCAGCGCTCCAGGAAATCCCGAAGGGTCTCATCCTTCTTCTGGCGTATTGTTAGGAGGTGGGAGAAGTGCTTCCTTGTGCGACGCCTCCCGGCAAATTGTGTCAAGAACCGCTGGGCGAGTTCTTGCCATGAATCAATACAGCCCTCGGGCAGCCTGTTGAACCATTCGTATGCTGGTCCCTCTAAGGTGGAGAGGAACCAACGACACAAATATTCGTCTGACGCCCCCACCATCATCATGCTGTTCTGGTACTTGCTGTAATGTTCCTGGGGGTCCGTTTTCCCGCTGTAGGGCTGTATGTGTTGCCCTCGGTATTTCTCCGGGATCCGGGCCGCCAATACCCTTGGGGTAAATGGCGTCCGAGTCCGGAGCTGGATGACGGGTTCCCCGGAGCCCTCGGCCACCTTCTTCTGTAACTCCTCCATTTTGGCCATCATGGCCTCGTATTTGAGATCTGAGTGAGGGGTGGAGGTGGTGGCGTGAGCTTTGTTGGACTCCATTTCGTCAAGCTGGCGCTGGAGGGCCGCAATAATCTCGTCCCGAGGGTCCCTCGGGAGGGTCTCCGCCCCCTGCGAACGAACCCGGGCCGAGTGGGCCTGGTTGATTTGGTGCCGAGCATCATCGGCATGAAGGGGTGCCTTGCCTTTGTCCCGAGGGGGACGCTCCTCGTCTGCCCTCGAAACAGATCCCCCGCTTTCCTGGGGCCTTTGGAGTGCTTTCCCCCCTGAGGCGGTCTTGGACCCCTCGGCGGTCTGGCCCTCCTCCGAGCCGGTTGAGGGCGGGAGTACGGGGCCTCTCCCTGTTGTCATTATGGCGGTCCCGGGACTGCACTTCCTGGGAGGATGTTTCTTGGGCCACCACCCCTTCGTCGTTTCGCACCCGAGGGGTGGGATTTCCGAAGGGGTGTGGCAGAGGGGGAAATATGATATTTTCCCCGATCTGAGGGTGAGCAGGAGCCAGGGTGCCGAAGGCACCCGGGTTCTGGGTGAGCGTCTGGATGAAGGCGGAGAGCACCGATTGTACGTCGATGGTGAGAACCGGAGGGCTGACTTGGTCATCGCTCCGGTTTTTCTTCTTGGCCTCGATGCCGAGGCGGGCATCGGGGGCATTTTGTTGGATCTGAAGGCGTAGGTCGACAGCCGCCTGTTCCAGCCCAGCGATGACACCGCCCTCGGGAGCCCTGTGAGAGGCTTCGGGGGCGTTGACGTCGCCGAGGGGCAGGTTCTTGTCCTCTACGTTCTTTGAGTTGGCACGTGTTGTCCTCACCATTTTGATAGAGGGCTAGTGTTTTGTGTTTGGTCGAGGGGGAGGGTTTCTTACTCGATTGTTCAACTTCTCAACGAGAGCACCAAATGATGGATAGTCTACCCGGGGGTATATATCCGAAGGGTTATCGCGGGGAGTAACTTAGAGAGAAGTTAGAGCAAATGAATATAGAGAGAGAGAGTGTATTATCAATGTGGAGCGTTTTCAGCGTGGTTACAAATGGGGAAATGGGGTGCTATTTATAGTAGCAATAAATGCCGGGCAGGGACACGTGTCAAGCGCTCATTGGCCGAGGGGTCACCTCAACTGGTTGGCGCTGGCAGCCGCATGTGGCCGCATTTAATGCGGCTGTTGGATGGGACGTCTGTGCGGGGTACGGTGATCTGTACGCATGTGAGGCAGATATCTTGTCGAGTGAGGTGCCTTCGGCTGTAGAGCAGTAACCGAGGGCTCTCCCACCCGACGGCACCCTGGTGCCGAGGGCTACTGTTTTCGCCGTTTTCTCCCAGTTTCCTAATTTGCTTGAGAAACCCGCTCTGTGATAATTTGGAGCCTTCGGTCAGGGGGCCGAAGGCCCCCCTGTGCGTTGTGCGGACTGCTTGGTACTCTGGGCGCTGTGATTTGGGCCTGTTGGGCCTGTTGGGCCTTTGCTGGAGTAGTAGGAGTCTGTGGGCCGGGGGTTCCCGGGCCATATACTCCATCAATGTTGTTCCAGGAAGTTTGGCGACGATTCCCATTTCCAGACGCTTCTGCTCTAGTTCTTTGGGGTCTTCGGACTTGATTTTTTATTTGGGGTTGATGATACCATTGAAGATGGTATTTGGCCAGTTTGGAGTCCCCGTAACATTGCCGTATGAAACGTGGAGAGTCCATGTAGCAGTTTCGTATAAAGCGTGGAGAGTGCCATTGAGTGTAACAGATGTTTTCATCACATGGGTGTTGAGTATTCCAGCGTGTGTGTGTGGGAGATATTCACATTTTGCCATTATTTCATCTGAATGGGTAGAGAATGAAGGACTCCTCACAGAGGTGTGGGTGCAACTAGATATCTAAATATGATCATATGCAAGCCAACATGAAATGTTTTGGTAGTATACATTGTGGCTAGATTTGTGTATAAACACAGTAAAGAGCATACATGCATAAGGTCTCCACCAACATCGGAGAGCAACTGTGGCAAGTATTCACAACACCTACACCAAAGAAACCACCACTATCTCGCACAACCCAGCCCAACCCACAACTATTACCAAACAGAATTGAAGCATTTGTATTGAGCTTCAACCGACGCTCCTCTGGTCTTTTCCAACCCACCACACCTACATGATGTTGACCCGTCCGCAAACCTCCCTCCTGGTCTCGACGTCAACCTTCCAGATAAGCTTTCGCTTCAGTCACAATGCTTTCTGCAAACACCTGTTTGTACTCTCAGATTTTCACATTTATAGCCCCAAAATAATCCATAAAAGCATAACGAACGAATAAAAACTCTTTGAGTCCCTGGTACTGAAAATATTCTCAACCCACTTGAGAAAAGAATTCCCTGCACTAATCGGAATAGTCCAATTTGAAGAGCTCCAGACATGTAAGGCCTTCTGACATGATCCAAAAATGCGTAAAAGTGTCTCATCCTCCTGTGAGCAAACCGGACATAATGACTGACAGGCCACCCACCGGTTCAAAAGCTTATCCGTAGTAGGAAGATGACTCGCACATGCTTTCCAAACAAATGCCTTCACCTTAGGAGGGATATGAAACCTCCACATTTTAGCCCAAAGGACTTCCTGCCCTAAATGAAACTCCCCAGCTAGAGCGCGATAATAGATTTTTGCCGAGAAGTGACCCTTATCCTCCAAAGGCCAACAAATCTGGTCTGACACCTCCCTTTGACTCAGAGGCAACCCCAGAATAAGATCCTTGTCCCTAGCATTGAATAATTCATACACCAAATCCCTATCCCACTCCCGGTTGTCATTAGAAATCAGGCCTAACACTTTAGTGTCCTCCAACCCTTGGATAATCTGTAAGAGAGGCCTAGGATTTAAAGAATCCGGTAGTCAAGGGTTTCTCCAAATATTCACCAGCTTTCTGTCACCAATGCGCCATCTAAAGTTATTAAAAATAAGAGGATTTGCTTCCATAATACTCCTCCCGATAAAAGATGGGGATCCTCCAAATTTTGCCTCCAACAAAAAAGAATGAGGAAAATATGTGGCCTTGAAGACCTTGGAAAGTAGTGAATCTGGTTTCGTAATAAGTCCTCATGCTTGTTTCCACAACATAGCAAGATTAAAGTCTCGGAGCCTTCTGAAACCCACGCCTGGTTCCATAAGGATATATTTGGGCATTTACTTTATATTCTAAACTTATTCTTAAATAAATACAAAAAGAATATTAAAAAGTGATTTGGATCTATATGAACGAGGATTTATTACCTAATGTGTCTATGTTTCTTCATATGATTTTAATTTTGATAGTTAACTTATGGTTGTCTGCCTCTGACATCAGGGATCTAAGTTACCACAAGATGTTATAGTATTGTTTGATTGCTATTGAGTGCATCCTTCCAGTCATGCGCCTTCTTTTCTCAAAGACAATCATGCTTCTCAACCCGTCTATGACAGTATCAATAGGTCACCTCTTGCACCACCACAATGGATTGAAAGGATGGTTTTATATTTTTATCTATCTAATAAGCTTCACATAAGAATAACTGTCATTGGTGATCAGACTGAATCAAAGGCCTTAAAACCAGTAGAATTAGGCGAGGCCACTACATAGCTGAACATTGATGGAGTCACCTTTTTATATACTAACTCAAAGTAATTTTACCAATGATTTATATTGGTAAAATGAATATAAACATTACAATTCACAAATATATACGACATCTTATATAATTGGATGCTTTTATTTGTTTCTAATATTGTCAATACGTGTTTATGTGAACATGATCAAAGAGTTGTAGATTAAAAGAAGATACATGATAGGTAATTCATGAAGTCGGATCAAGCAAGGAACTCGTGGAAGAGTGAATAAAATGTCTCCATTTCTTTAGGCGGCAGAGCTACTAATACGTTGACCACATTCATGCCTTTACTCTGGTCTTTCATGTCAGGAAACAGAAGAATTATGTCCTTCCTGTGATAAACAACAGGGCAACTGTACTTGGGTTCCCCCCAAGGATATTCCACTCCTTCAAACCCTAACTTCCACCATGAAGAAACAAGAAACTCCCCATTAGGGAACCCTTTGTATATCTCTCCCCAGTCGATCACAGACCTAGCGTACTCATCTGTCACCCTTGTCGCTCCCTCGTACACCATTTGAACTGTCTTCCAGAATGGCCCTTCTTCCAGTTCCCCACACTTCGCGGTGGCGAAAGCTGTGAGCACGGCATTCCCAGAATATGAAGGTGGGAGTGGTGGGTTTAGTCTCGAACGGATGTCCACTGCGAACAACACAGTGGATAGCCGTTCATAATTATTGTCTACATCGCACGATAATGCTTTGCATCTCCATATATGGGCAGTTATAACATTAAAACTGGTCACCTGTTAAGAGTATATATGTTATGTATGTATAAATCACATCCATGGTTAATAATAAAAATTGTTTCATAACTTTATACTAAAAATTGAAAACACATACTCCCTACACTGTGAAATAAAGAAGATGAGATTTCCATACATAGAGTAAAACATAGTTATTTTCTTCCTACATATGTAGTATATAGGAATAAAGTCCGAGCTAACATTTGCAATAATGTTTCAAGAAAATAATGTTTACTCTTATTTAAAGGGTATTTTTATTTACGAAAAACCCCTAAGTTTTACTCTAACCTGTACTGAAACTTCTAACGGGTAAAGACTTCATGTGTAATGAAAACTTTTAATCACAACCTTTCCTTTTATATAATCAATGGTAGGATGCACATAGAGTCCTTTGTGTAATTATTCAAAATTCAAACAAGGTACTATTTGTAATTATTATTAAATTATTACAAAAATGCCACCTTGTTGATTCTGGCCCTTGATTTGATATATAAAAGGTGGAGATTAAGAGCTCTCATTTATAAATGAGCTCTGAAATTAGGAGGCGTTTATACTAGAACTCTCCCTTGTGTGCGTTTGTGTATGTCTAGGAGAGGGTTCAAATACAAATAGGTCTTCTAATGCAAAGTGAGAACAAATCTTATGATTTCATTTCTAGATGTAATGGTTCAAAATGAGCCAACAATGCACTAGATTTGATAAAAAAATGTGGCCGTAATTTTGTAAATAAACCGAGGTTTTATGTCACCACGAAAAAGTACAACAGGAACATGCAAGAGTGCAACATAGTGAGGGAAAAGTGCAATCGTTAGCACTTTGCACAAGAGCACTACTTTTATTTGAACCACAAATTGTGGGTTAAATGTTGGGAGACACTTACCTAATTTTATTAAAGTGAAAAGAGAGTATAGGAAAGAAAATGCAATGAAAGTACAACAACTAAGGAACTCCACAAATTGGGGAGAGTATCATGAAAGTTTTTGTCCACCAAGCTTGGAGTGAAGAAGATGCTTTTGGATATTACTCGTTATCGCCTCAGTCTATCTTTTGAACTCTCCCTGACTCCCCAATAATATATATATATATATATGTGTGTGTGTGTGTGAATGATCCTGTCCAGTCGGAGGGACAGGATCCTCTGTCCGGCCATCGCCATTTGGGGCGGTTCCCGGTGGAAATTTTTGATGAAATTTTTTGGGAATATTGCTCATCAAGTCTATTTTATCCACAAAAACTTTCAGCTAAAAATTAATCGGGAAGGCAATCAAATAATTTTTTGAAGATAAATGCGCCAACTTAGCTTCAACATATAAATCGCAGTTATTTTCAAAATTTTATTTGACTGCCTTTCTAATCGAATTTTTAGCTGAAAATGTTTTGTAGATAAACTAGAGTTGATGAGGAACATGCCCAAAAATATTCATAAAAAAAATACACCGGGAACCACCCTAAACGGCAGCGGACGGTCGGAGGATCCTGTCCCTCCGACTGGACATGATCTTTTCCATGTGTGTGTGTGTATAGATTTTGGATCTTATAAAAACACCCCTTCCCATGAAAAGTAAGAAGTAATCTCAACCATAGGATTCCTTAATAATGAAAAACTGTGGTCATTATCTCTCAACCTACGAGGAGGGTATTCTTGTCCGCCGAGCTACTTCCTACCGTTTCTCAAACTTTGAAGGGGTGTGAGATAAATATCCCGAGCTTTCATATGTAATTTAAATACCCCAAACTTTATATAAAAAGTTATTTTAACACCATGGCTATGTATTATTTCTTTCAAAAATGTAAATTTGTGGTGTTAAATGCATAATTTAAAATACCAAATTGAAAACATTAGAGTTATATATAGTGGTGTGTAATACTATTTATTTTGCAATGGAAGCTTAGAATGTTAATTGTATCTTTATGAATGCTAAATTATCAAATTATGAAATAAACACCAAAAATTAATATTTTTGAAAGAAATAATACATGACCATGGTGCTAAAGTAACTTTTTGTATAAAGTTTGAGGTATTTAAATTACATATGCAAGTTTGGGGTGCTTATCTCACACTCCATCAAAGTTTGGGGTATTTTAATTATTTTTCCCTATTTCAATATCATTTAATGCACATTTCAGTTTCACGAAATGCACAATTCAGTTCCACATAATACAATCCAACGGTCCAGATTCATTCTAATTTCTCTCCTGGGAGTCCGTTCTTACCGGAACTACTCCTTGCATATGTACAAGTATACGTATACGTATACGTATACATATACGTATATGTATATGTATATGTATATGTATATGTATATGTATATGTATATGTATATGTATATGTAGGGAGTGGTTCCAGTGAGAAAGGACTCCCAGGAGAGAAATGAGAATGAATCTAGATCGTTGGATTGTATTATATGAAATTGAATTGTGCATTTGGTAAAACTGAAATGTGCATTACGTGAAATTGAAATGTGCAGAATGAAAAATAAAACTCAAATGTGCATTACATGAAATTGAAATGTGCAAAATAAAAGGCACAAAAATGCCACTGCATCCTAGTTTTTATTCTGCACGTTTCAGTTTCACGTAGTGCACATTTTAGTTTTTCATAATGCACAATTCAGCTTCACATAATACCACTATGTCTTACATTTTGTGTTGCACATTTTGATTTCACCTAATGCACATTTCAGTTTCACTTAATGCACATTCAATTTCAAAGAATACAATCTAACGGTCCAGATTCATTCGCATTTCTCTCCTAAGATCATTTTCTCACTTGAACCTAATTCTGTATATGTATATGTATATGTATATGTAGATTTAGGATCAAATGAGAACAACGCTTAACGTGAGAACGTGAGAACACCACATTTACCCCGATATGATGCACAATGAGGCTCGTCCAATGCACATTTTCGTATTCGGCATAGTATTTACCAAAATGCCACCGTCATTATTTATATTGGCTTATATGGAGCAAAGTCAAAATGTGCACCAAACAGGCTCTATTGTGTATCACGTTGGGTTAATCGTGAGTGTTCTCACATTCTCACGTTAAGCACCGTTCTCATTGGAACCGCACCTTGTATATGTATATGTATATGTATATGTATATGTATATGCATGTGCATGTGCATGTGCATGTGCATGTGCATGTGCATGTGCATGTGCATGTGCATGTGCATGTGCATGTGCATGTGCATGTGCATGTGCATGTGCATGTGTATATGTATATGTATATGTACACATACACAAAACAGCATCGTGGCAAACATATGTATTCTCTCCTGGAATGCATGTGTGTGCCATGGTTCAGTAAAATATACTCCCTAAGCTATGTATACACAGTCAGCTTAACTTTACTCTAATCTCTAATGTTATATAGTATATATAGTAAATTTTTATCATTTTGGAATTATGTTGTTGCCACTTAATAGATTTTTTTAGTAGTGAAATATATGTATGTCTTAATAATTTTTAAATAGTATATTGCCAATTGAATATATATTGTAGTATAAATATATATATATATATATATATATATATATATATATATATATAATACACTTTCTCAATTCTTTTTAGTAGAATGCTCTCATTTTTAATTTGTCAAAACACAAATTTGATCATCAATAAATTTAACTGTCATTAGTAGATAAATCAAAAATCAAGTGAAAATTTGCAATGAGACAAGTTCAACAATAGTTTTCCAAAAACCTATAGTCATACGTTAGTAAGTAAAATGTAATTAAAGTAGAGCACATGAATAGTAACAACTTATAGTAACTAAAAAGAAATTGATGATAGTCATAGTATATAATACTCCGTCCAACCCTTAAAACTTTGTCATATCTTTGAATTTCTTGATCAATCATATTCAACTTTGACAAGTTATATATTTTAATAGGAAATTATTCATAATATAAAAATGATATGGAATTTTTTGTTAAAAATACTTTCATAAAAGTATAAAATTTGTAACTTCAATAATATTATACTAATCAAAATCGTGGCCGAAACGTTACCACTATTAACTTGAAAAATCAAAGATGGCAAAACTATAAGGGACACACTCCATATAATATTACCTTAGTTTTTAGGACATCTAAGGAAGGAGCGGCATTTGCTTTGGCCTTCAGGTTGTGAATGTTGGTGGGGGTGAGATGGAAGATGTGAAAGGAGAGTTGATCGTTGAGGCAGTTGAAGACTTGTGGGGCCATCTCCAAGCCATCGGGAAGGTTGAGCTTGAGGAGCTCCGGGTGGGGAAAGGTGACACGTGGGGGGGATCGAGCTGCTAGCAGGGAACGGTCGTTGCACGGGACCACCGCCAAGTTGTCGTTTCGCGCTTGAGATGCAAGGTTTTGAAGGAAGGTTTGGAACCCGCTTCCATCAAAGGCGGCGTGATTCGTAGAGACACCCATCACAAAACCACCGCATTTAAACGATGTCACCTACAAAATACATTAAAGGACGACAAACCTTACAAATATTAATACTCCTTCAATATTGAAATGTTTGAGACAATATGGTTTGACACAACATTTAATGGGAAAGTAGTAGGGGTTGTCAATAGTGTATAAAAAGTAAGCATTTCAATGGAATGGGAAAGTATGAAAGAAAAGATAAAAATTAGAAAAAGTACGGATAATTGAGTATTTTTAAATGAACATTTACCAAAAAAAGAAAAGTATGGTAAAACTTAAAAAATAACTAAAAAGAAAATGTAACAACCATTTCAATATGAGGGATTATAAAATACCGTGTAATAATTATGATTATACCCTGGCCGAACGTGGCATACTCATCCATTGTAACAATATATTTCAAATAATCATATTTAATTTGCATTGGAGCAGGTCAAACCAAGGTAATTAATACTAGTAGCTAGTTCAAGCCGGTGGACGTAGCTCAGTTGGTAGATAGGGAGTGTCACAACGAGTAAGTCTCAAGTTTGAATGCTGTCAACTGCGATGAGGGGTTACGATGTAAAAATGGAAAGGGTCTCTATAAGTATTTGGGCCAGAGCCTCACTTGTTGTATACTAGTATGTGATTAGAGTATAATTTACATCCTCCCAGTTAATCGTCCGACCGGTTTTGTGGGGCCTCAGGGATGGAGTCTCGACCTTTTAGTAGCTAGTTCAAATAGAATAAAAAAACATCTTCAAATCTCTTAAGCACACTATATATACTAGATCATCAAAGAAACTTTGAACAATCTCATAATCTATAGGTTCTATAGCCAATGACTATATTCTGATAGGCTAATATGTTGGACTATTGTGCATAAAAAATATGTTCTTAATGTGGTCTGCTTCCGTCACGATGTAGGGTTTTCAGCGTCGCCGATCGTTTTGCAGTGCTAATGAGCTTGGCTTTTCATATTTGTTTTGTTTCTCTGTTTTATTAGATCGTTGGTTTTGTTTTTCTAGACGAAAGGAACCGCTGGCTTGCTTCGCTTTTTACTCTTCTGGCGGATGACGCAAGTTAGGTTTATGTTTTGCTTGGATCGTTAGTTTGTTTGTGTTTTGTGTTTTGTCTTGCTAGTTCATTAGCAGTAGGCGGGATGGATGTACAAAAGGGGCTAATTGATCGCTACGGATGGCTACAATTGGAGGAGGAGGAGGATGGCGACGCGGTGGATCTTCTGTTACCTGACGTGAATGAGAGTGAAGATCACGAAGGGGGTTGTTAGAGCGAAGACGGTGAAATTCCTACTGATAGATTAGGAAGGACGTTGATGGGTACTTTTTTACAGAGAAGACGGTGAAATTCCTACAATTTAGGGACACAATGACTTCTGTTTGAAGGTCGAGCAAGGGTGTTTTAATTAAAGAAATCGGCAACAAGAGGTTTTTATTTTCTTTTTACCATTAAATTGATATGAGACATGTTATGGAGTATGGCCCGTGTCTTAATGATCAAAACCTTGTGGTGGTGCATGAACTAAAGCTGAATGGTTTGCTAAAAGTATTGGTAATATTCTTGAAAGTTTTATTAAGCTTGACCAAAACCAACTTAAGGGGAGCTGGAGGGCCTACTTGAGAATCCGGGTTTGCCTTGATATTATGAAATCGATTAGGAAAAATCTGAAAGTTCAAAAATCGAATGGGGTTGTTTATGGGTAGATCTGAGATATGATAAACTCCCCAGTTTCTAGTTTTCTTGCGGTATTATTGGCCATCGAGATAGGTTTTGTCCTCAGGTTCTAGGACAACCAAACTCAGAGCAAATGAAGGAATTTGGGTTGTGGGGTGAGAGCATGTAGTAATCTACTGTCATTCTGCTGACTGATTCATCGTGACTAACTTCCCCACCATTCTGTCAGGTCAGGGAGGGGACTTCAGGGGGAGATTCCACCTTTTGGAACAATCGAAATTAGGACTACCAATTGCAAGAGTGGGCGAGGTGAGTGGAGAAAGAAGTAAAGAATTGCATCAATCATACTTGACTACTTGTGTGTGTGAAGAATAGTTTATTGTGAATATTCTCAAAAGTAAGGCCCTCAGGAAAACATGTAAGGGTAGTTGCTATAGATTCATAGTCGGGCCCCAGTCCAAGAATAGTATATTGCAAAATTTCACGCATGGAAACGTGTGCATCCAGCTGGCTCTTTTACTACGTATTGTTTTCCATTTTATAATTTCTTTTACTTTTACTTTTCTTTTTCTTTTGTTTTTCTCTTTCTTTTCTCTATGTCGACGCATTGTAACCTTTTCTGATCCATTCTCTTTCAAATTTCAATTTCTCCGATTGACAAGCTTTCATTTTTCTTCATTCTTCTCCATAGATCTACCAGTCTATGAGCCAGATTCAGAGACCACAGAGGCAGTGACTATGGACGTAGATCTATGGAGACTTAGAGGTCGTCGCTCCATTGAAGGGGGAGGAAGTGGGTGCTACGGGTTTCGTGGTGGTTGGAGGTCTCTCCAATGGAGGAGGCCGAGGTTGAGGTTACAGATGGGGTGCCATGGTGGGCGGAGAAAGTGTGAATGGAGGTAGTGGGGCGGAGGTGAGGCCGTGCACGGAGGTGGCTGGAGCACCACTCCGATAGAGGAGGCAGAGGGGAAGGGTCATATGGGTGGTCAGAGGTTGTTCTAGTGGGAGGACTTCGTGGCAAAAAATGGAGGTATTGGTAGAAGAGAAAGGAGTGGTTGGAGACGGGAAATGGGCGGACAAAGAAGAAAGAGAAAAAGGAAGATAGAAAAAAAGGAAAAATAATTAGAAAACAGTAAAAAAAAATTGCCAGTTGCGACGTCCACGTAATCGCTCACCGGGTAACTGGTTGATAACATGTGAAAAGTCGGTTTGATTATTTTTTGATACTTCTCCGACTCAATTGTTTAAAAAAAGGCGTTCCCATTTTAACTTTCAAATGTATTTGACACAAAATTTAAGATAGTGGATATTATGTGGTAGAGAATTGTGTAGAGGAGAGAGAAATGGGTAAGAAATGTTGTGAACCATAAATTCTTTACCAAAAAAGGAAAGTGAAAGTTTTAATTGGAACGGATGAAAAAGGAAAGTTGGAAGTTTATTTAGGAACGGAAGGAGTATATGAATTCTGATTGACTTTTTGTGAAAAGTAGGTGAAGTTATTTGATAGTTTTCCCTAATTATTATTTTATTATTATTATTATTATTATTATTATTATTATTGTATTTTTTATTTTTTAGAAATCAATTAGGATTTTCATTGAGGGTGGTTATGTCCAGGGATGGAAGTACCTATAGGGGTAGTGGGGCCTTGCCCCCTCCCAACTTTTATGTTTTTTTAATAGTATTGTATTGAGCTAGCTCTCTTTCTAAGAGGAGCTTCTGCGCAGCGGGTTCTGGTTCGAACGAAGGGCGTATTTGGCGGCTTGGTCTCGGAGGATCCAAATAGTCGTAGGCAGCGAGCAAGACCATGGAGAAGGCAGTTTCAATGGTGGTTTTGGTGCAGATTTGGCAAGTATTGGTCCTTCAGGAAGAGAAGGAGGGGATTGCTATCGATCTTGATGATCGAGGGACAGGACAGACCAACGGCTCGCCCCCCTCCTGAACCGCCACCTGGGTCTCCTTTGCAAGATTTTTCGTTCAAGTACTATGTTTATTTTTTTGGCTTTCCCTTTAATTTGTTTGGCAAGGACTGTAGGTTGTTTTTTTGCTGGGTTTGTTTTGACTAGGGTGACTTGTTTTTTGTTTTAGATAATGTTATGGGTCAGAGTCAGGAGAGGATAAGCGATGAGCATAAGCGATAGGGAATCTAGACCGATCATAATTGGCTTACAATTGCCCCAAGTGGGGATTAGCGAATCGGTGGCTTCTTCTTTTGAGGTGACTGATTCAAAGTTTGGTCCAAGGGCGTATGGTCGAACTATGGATTCTGATCTTTGTAGCTTGTCTTTTTTCTCCGGCTAGATGATATTTGTGATTTTGCTGGTATTTTAATATAAGTCGTTCTTCCTCAAAAAAATAGAATTGTATTGAGAGAAATGTTCCTGTCAAGCCTCCCTGACCAGAACTGTCATCCGGCCGCCTCAATTTGAGGTGCTTCTCGGTGGAACTTTTGTAAGCATGTTATTCAATAAATGTATACTCCGAGAAGTTAGTTAAATAAATTCTATAAGAGTATTTTTAGATGGGAGAAGCATGGTATTCTCAACTTTTATATTTTTTAATTGTACTGTATTGGGAAAAAATGTTATTCAATGTGAGGTGCTTCTTGCCTCAATAAAAGTATCATATATATCAAATCTCACCTTAAAATTCAATCGAGATGTTAGTTAAATAAATTATTGAAAAACACCGCGCCAAAATGTATACATAAAACACAAAATTTTTCAATAATTTATTTAACTTAATTCCCGATTGAATATTACAATGAAATTTGGTGGAGATAATCTTGAAGAACATGCTAACAAAATTTCATCAAAAAATTCTATCCAGAAGCACCTCACATGCAGGCCTGATAGAAACATTTTTCCTAATATTACAGGCAAGACGGGGCGGATCAGTCCGGGACTCGGTGAACCGGCCTTTTACATGGTACGGCTAGTCATTGACCTAGGCATAAACTGGACCTTCTGCAACCCCCATCCCAGCCCACGTATGCATTCCGGTGAGTCATCGTACACGTCGTGTTTCTCATTCTTTCCTCTTCTCCTTCTATTTGAAGTGGCGAACACACTGGAGTTCCTTCCGGCTATGGCGAGCGGCGGCGAGTTCTACGGGAGACGCTCAGTCTATTGTGATAGATGAGGCTGGTTGTTGATCGAATCTGATGGCTACCTACGAGCACATCTGCAATTAAGATTCGAGCAGGGACTCAACAACGCCGACAATGTTAGGCGAAGGTGCGGCGAAGGTGCGGTACGATTGCAGACGGAGGCAACAGGTGGGGGATGAGAAGACGTCGTTGGGCTGGTGATGGGGTTGCGTAGTACCGGCAGGGGCCTGGGGTAGGGGAGGGG